ACACAGTATATATATATATATATATATATATATATATATATATATATATAGAAGACATCTGATTGCACAGAATCATTTAAATTCAGGCATTTCAGTTCAGATACAAGAACGTCACCCAATGAAAGCAACCCAGTGTTTAGTAGTAAGTGCATGTATTCCAGTAAGTGCATGTTCAAATATAATGCAGATGCTTCACTCAAGGACCATTAAATAGCTAATGGAGGTCAATCTCGTCCGTTAACAGCATGATGTGCTGCTGCGCGGCTTTCTATGCAGGTTAACGGTGTCTGTTGGAATCAAATGCTCGTGTCGATCCTCCAAAGCCAGAACTCTTCTGACGGCTTCCTCGAATGCAACCGCGACATTAGTCGCGTCTTTGGCACTGGTCTCGAAATACGGGTATCCTCCGCTTTCCCTGCACCACTCCTGAGCTTCCTCACTGGTCACCTGCCTCTCCGTCACGTCCACCTTGTTGCCCAGAAGCACGAACGGGAAGCTGTCGGGCTCCTTGACATCGGCGTAGAAGATGAACTCTTTCCTCCAGTTGTTGAGGTTGTGGAAGCTCTGGCTGTCGTCCACGCTGAAGGTCAGCAGGCAGCAGTCGGAGCCGCGGTAGAAGGGCGTCCGCAGGCTGCGGAATCGCTCCTGACCCGCCGTGTCCCAGATCTGCAGCGTGACCGTGCGGCCGTCCACCTCCAGGTCTTTATTGAGGAACTCCACGCCGATGGTGTGAAAGAGATGGGCGTCGAACTTGTTAGTGACGTAGCGGTTCATGAGCGAGCTCTTTCCCACTCCACCGTCGCCCAGGAGAATGACTTTAAGAAGGGAGGATTTAGATGACATGGTGTTTGTGGCCGTCGTCCTGAGAACTGAAGTTTAGGGATATCTTTAAGACTTAAATGAGTCATATGATTCTCCAATAAAACAGTTTGTTTACACTATCTGTCAAAAGTTAGGAGTAATTTAGATGTTGTTAAAAGAAGTCTTTCTGCTCACCAAGGCTGCATTTATTTGATCAATAATATAGTAAAAACAGTAAAATTGTGAAATATTATTATAATTTAAAATAAATGTTTTCTATGTGAATATATTGTAAACTGTAATGTATTTCTGTGATGTGCAGCTGTATTTTCAGCATCATTACTCCAGTCTTCAGTGTCACATGATCTTCAGAAATCAGTATAATATGCTGATTTGCAGCTCAAGAAACATTTCTGATAATTTTTGTGGAAACTGTTATATACTAGCATTCAACAGTTTAGGGACAGTATGGTAAAAAAATAAATAAAATCAATTATTATTTTTATTAATCAAGGATGCATTATATTGATCAAAAGTGAATGTAAAGACATTTATAATATTACACAAGATTTCTATTTCAAATAAATGCTGTTCTTTTGAACTTTCAATTCCTCTGAGAATCCTGAAAAATAAAATGTATCACGGTACAACAATAAATTACATTTGAACATTTTCAAATAGAAAAGTTATATTAAATTCCAAGAAATATTACATAATTTGTACTGTTTTGATCAAATAAATGCAGCCTTGGTAAGCAGAAGAGGCGTCTTTCAAAAATATTGTAAAAAAATAAAATAAAACTTTGACTGGTAGTGTATATTATTTATTTTAGTAACTGTTAATATTTGATATACTTGAATAAATACATATATGTGGCTCTTAGAATGGTACAAAAGGCCAAACGTAGTACTAGCAGGTGGAGAGCGGTTTATAAAACACTATTTGAACAAATTGCAGCCAAGTTTCATTTCTGTAAAACAGTTTGTTTGTTTATTAAATGAACTGATTCAGAATTTTTTTTAATTGTCATTTTGTAGCATTAGCATTATGCATGCGAGTTATTGCAATATTTGGGGGAAATTGGGGAGCAAGTAGGTTTCACTTACCTTTACTGCCTCAAATAATTCATCATTCAAAACCTAGAACAACAAAAAATCACTAAATTAGAAATATTATCCCAACGTACTAGACTAATCAAATGAAGATCTATGCAACAGAGACTTAATATTGTAATGTGTTGTCTGCATATATTAAACTATTTACGGTTATTCATGCTGAAGTGAGATGTGTTACAGAACTATTTCACATACATCACAATTATTATTTATGTATGTGTCTATATGCAGTATAATGATTATGTAGGTTATTAGTACATTGTTTATACATCAAATAACCGATATAATTTGTAATGGTTTTATGTCTGTTTTCTGTAAAAAAAAAATACTACATTATGTTTAAACATTAAATAATTTTTTGTTTGACATTATATTCAAATATCCAATAACTGATAAAACTTCAATGCTTTCATTTCTGTTTTTGTAAAAGTAAAAACTACATTATCACTACACTGCAACAACAGAAACATATACCTAATCAGCAAACATATAATCATAATCAGCACTCATAAACCCCATGTAGGTCAATCTTTACTACACTAGACACAAATCAAGCTGGCGTTACTCTGATAGGCCCAGTAACGCTGGACATGAGAAGACGCTATAGCACTAAACGAAGGCATGAGTACGGTCCACTGAGACTCTCAGCTGCTGGCGGTCAGTTGGTCATGTGCTCCTGTCTGTCCTGCATCACATGCAACAGTGTGCGTTACAATTCAGACAACATGCAACACAGCCGGAGTTTAAACACACACAGAATGATTTAATTACAATCACACAAGCCTGCTGGAGAAAACACTCAGTCAAGTCACTGCACAGCTGTATTAGTGCAGTTGAGACTCACAGTCAATAATTATTTTTCAAGTTTATTTTTGCATGGAAACCAACGAGGGTCAATTTGACCAGCAAGACAAAATTAACTTTCAACACAACAGGAGGGTTAAATGACCCGATTCAGAAATTAATTCAAATGTTCCAGTTTACTCAATTCAAAAATGTGAAAATAATGCTGGGAACATCTTGTCATCTTATGAGGTATGAATGTGGTTGAAACTATGAAACAAGTGGTTGAAACCATTTATATGGCTAATATTTCAAATATTTATAACACAGCATCAAATACTTGATTCTGATTGGCCACACACACACCCACACACACACACACACACACACACAGTATATATATATATATATACACGCATACAATTTTATGACTACATTACATTATTATGTTACATATATTATTAAATATTGCTTAAGGAAAGCATAGTATATAAAGTAATACAACAAATGGTGTCATGTATTAATATGTATAATAATTTATTTATTAATAATAATAATAATAATATAATTATGATTTATTTTATATGATAGTTTGAATCGGGATGAATTAGTGACTATTAATCACTAATATATCACTATATCGCTTAAAATAACACATTTGAGATGAAACATGAGCCGGACATTCATTTATTTACAAAACTGCAGGAGCAGCGGTTAACAAACCAAACCAGGAGGACATTTATATATAACGAAGAAAGCCCACCGAACCCATACATGCCTGAGCTGCTGAACTTGACTACACTAAACAACACACAGTGCATCAGTCTGAAGCAAATAAGCAGCTGTGTGTGTGTGTGTGTGTGTGTGTGTGTGTG